ATTTTTTTTTATTACAGCTTGATTTCACACCATATATCTTTGTATAGGTATGGAATTTTCAGCGTGTGATATCGGTAGCTCAAATTTCGCAGGCCGTCCAAAGGTATCAGGTGTGCGTCGGCAGGGGATCAAACCCCAGACCTTGTGCATGGTTGGCGAAAGTACTAACCACTGTCCACGCATTCAAGAAAATTAATCATGAAAATCAGCTGACCTTAAACTGAAACTCTATGCTCACACGTGTCCAGAACCAGAATGGACAAATTATCCTATGCTGACAGGAGTTGGTCTTTTAAACCGTGGAGGAGGTTTTCTAGGAATAACCTCTTCTGCTAGTTCACGCGTTAAGGCATCATCTAATAGACTCATGCCGAAATTCGGTCAAATCATTTCCACCCTCTACTATGCTTAAGGAGGGAATAGAAATCATTCAACTCCAGTTGAAATTGGAGATATCCATGCGCCATAAAGTCGAAGAAGTAGATGAAAGAAGCGACAAAGGAATGAATGAAGTAACATTTTAGTATAAAACGCAGTGCCCGTAATCTAGTATACCCTCGAATGGAAACGTCGTCCAAGGGTAATGTGGTGTTATGAAATCTGAAACTGAAATGTAACCTTTTATCCTGATCTGTGGCACAGTGGTTGGGACTCTCGCCGACCATGCACATGGTCCGACGTTCGAGCCCACGCCGACGCACACTTGATATCTATGGTCGGCCTGCAAAATCTGGGCTTTCGATATCCACGCTGAAAATTCCATACTTGTACCAAAAATGCGGTGTGGAATCAAGCTACAATTAAAATAAAATTCTAAAGGTCAGATTTTGAGTACAGAATTATATCTTACTAATCTTCTCCACCTCATAAATTCTTAAATCTAAGCATCATCGGTTAACTTCACATAGAAAGTGCCACTTTAAATACCCTACAAAAACAACTCAGGAAAATCATGAAGGTCGCAATTTCTTATATCTCATCAATTTCAAGGTCAATGGGTTCGTGTGTGATTAACTCCTTGTGTTATGTGTCCAAACCAAGTTCCCGTTATATCCTTGTGTTGTTGTTGTTATTTAGGCGACTCAGAATTATGACAGACCTGAACGAAAGTACCTTGTAAACAGATTAGTTATATCGAGCAACCAGTCAGATGAGTCTGTAGTGTAAAGGCAAAATTATGGCTGCTGTACACGAGTTATATAAGATCTATAGCCAAATGTCATACCCTGGCCGAATTCACAACATGGTCTTTCATACTGACGATTTCGTTGGTCACTTCGGTGATAATGGCGCAAATTCCACCCAAAATTTTCTAGTTCCACCTGAAAAATCGGGACAGAACGATGAATGAGTCAAGAATCACGATGATTCACAGTTACGTCGACTAATTTATGTACTGAAATTGGTTTAATCTGACAAATGAGGACTCGTATGAGGAGTGATAAGGTTTCCTTCGAACATGTGGAAGAATTGTATAATTTGTAACTAATTTTCATCATTGCATTATATATACATATATATACGTTCTTTCAAATTACGCACTTCCAATTCAGATGTATTTTATTGGTCGATAGCGATTTGTTGGGATCCTTTTGGGCTGCTATAGTTTAAGGTCAGCCATAGCTGAATACAACTGGCTCTGATACGTTGGTTCGCATGAAACAGTATCTGTGATTTGCTAATCCTAATGTTTTCTATGAAAATATATAGTGAATTGTGCCACATGCTTACTGAATGCTGTAAATTTACTGACGTCATCCCGCATTCTGTGAGCCGGAATTAGGAAGCTCATAGCTTTTTAGTAGCGTCATATCCGCAAATTGATGGTATAAGACACTTTTCACGCCGTTCATACATATAGGGGTAAAGTTAAATCATCATAACCAAAATCGCAGTGACTTTGAACGGTCAGTCGTAATTCAGATACAAAAAAGTTGTATAGTCGTTGAAAAGACACTGAAAACATGATATAAAACTGTTTAGTTGTCGCCTATTGTTGTAAGAATGTCTCCCTGTCACTACCAGATGACCTATGGGGAAATCGTACCATGCGCGATAGATGCATTCATTCAGGTGACTGTAGGTCACGGTACTTTGAAATCCATTGATATTTCTGACACTTCTTTAACGTACTCATAACTCTAATCATGACCTTAATTCTAACCCTAACCGTAAAAACCATAACCCTACCTACCAGTATACATTTACAGAAAAAGCACCTAGGAAATGATTAGAATACTGTACATGCCCTAGCCAAATCCACAAAGGTAGTGACGGTTTGATATGAAATGATTTTTCGTATTGTTCCCTAAATCTGATCGGCTCTTAAAGGTTAACTTTTGACCGACTTTGACTATGATACTTTAACTTCGCCCATATAGAAATAGATATGTCCAAAACGGTATTTAACAGCTAGTGTTTGGACAAGTTATGCCAGTTCATTTTTCGTTGCCACTTTCAAGTATCTATAAGAGGATTTTAGGTTTAACAACCATGCTTATCACTTGTCGAAGTTTATTTACAATTGTGAAGATTTGTTGCTCAAGTGGGGGATTTCGATTTGATTGCATACCGTGAGCTTTGATCATCCTTCTAGACAACGTCTTCGGCGCAAACCTCAGTATTTACCTAGAACTTGACGTTTTTGTCTCGCGGCTTACGAATTATTGGCTAACATTTGATATATGATAGCGTTCCTGTTTATTGCTTATTCGTTTGAGTACCAGCCGTGGAGATTTTCCCTGCCATTTTGGGTGTCTCAACATTTCGCCATGTGGTTCAATATGAAACCATAGATGCGGTCTTTTTTTGACTCCCAGTTTTATTCTTGTAGTAGGGGATCCATTGTGCCCAATATATTTCTTGTCACAGTTCATACAATTTATTTTGTAGATGGTGTCAAACTTGTCTCTGATTTGGGTTTTTTGTTATGTATATCGTTGAATGAAGTAATGGTGTTGGTTTGTGTGTGATATCTAATTCGAGTGGTTTAAGTATAATATTCGTCGTCTCAAAAGCATTATATATGGTAGGGTGGATTTTCCTGTGGTTTCTTCGGATAGCTTCTTACTGGCAGTGAAGTTCAAGTTTAACTTCCTGAAAAATACTTCGTGGAGATTGTCATTCTTTCACTTGTTCAGATATATTCGTTATAGAAAATCAAACAGCAAGTCGCTACAAATATTTCATATTGTTGTGAATAGCGCCTTTCTATTAGAACTTATTTTTGAACAGATTCCGCTGCATTGAACTGAGCACATATTTACAGTGTCTTACCTTACAATTACAAATTTCATCTGTTATGAAAATTGATTGTGAAGTTATTGCAAAATACATCTGTCTTGTATGAACTAATAACCTGTACTAACTGAGAAAGGTTGAGCACTGTAACTCAACAGTATAATCCATAGTGCCAGTTGCTACTTATTTACAACATTTGAAAACTGTCGCCTCTTGTTGCAGCTGAGTGACTTATACAATAGAGAGTGAGCTTGATTAATACAGCTCCTAACACATAAAAATTCTGACTTTTTAAAATACAAGATAGTCCGTGGTCATTTCCCATGATGGCTTTAGATGATAAGAAAGTCACAGTAACCGCGTCATTGAAGAGGTTTGTCCCAATTGCATTCAATTGGTCTTTAAGTGGAGATTACGTAAAGGTATTGACAATTATCTTGATATTTTCACTCATCCGGATAGCTCAAAGATTATTTGTTACCGAGACCCGATAATTTTGTGAGTTTTCTCCTCTAGATTTTACTGCTTTCCCAGTGTTATATAGGTAGCATTAAGTGAATAACCGCATCTAGTTCTCGTATGAGTCTCAATAACGCAACACATCCAAAAACCGAGTTTTTGTCAGTAAGTACTGGTGTTCAGTTTTACAGTGTCTTAAGGTCACAAGCTCCATTATAAAGTTGGCAGCGTAGTTTTAAGAGAATTAGAATGGTCTTTGTTGACCTCGTCGCTAGCATCAGTCACATTAAAAGTTGAAGAAATTGTTTAGGCAGTAGTGAAAGGAAGGTAAAAAGAGGTAAATGAGTGAGCAAATTAACTTTCCACATGAGCCATCGTAGGTGGTTACTCATTACCCACTGTGCTTTGATTTTTTGCAGTGTCAGCAATAGGGATTTCACCAGTCCTTGGTGGCCGAAAATCCCATTTGTTTAGGTGGAATTTATTCCTTATGCCAGAGTACAGCACTATGTCATTTTGAGATGTTAAATTCTTAAGGCCTGTCTTTTCTAATACTTCAAAGCGAGAGGTGACATAACTGGCTTACAGTACAATCTCACCCTCAGATCTTCACCAAAAGCAAGATACTTTTCCCATAATGACAACTACTTTCAGTCTAACTAATAACCAGCAGAACATTTGTTCTGACCAGATTGGCTCGTTGGGTCATTTGTGATATGATAGATCACTTAGTCAAAGTTGGAACTGTCGGTCGGGTCTGAGTCACAGTGCGCTAGTAGTTGAAAGAAAAAGGATAAAGAAACCTACCTTCCACGAAGTCATCTTCAAAATAACAACATCTACCAAAATTTAGTGAATGCTCCCACCGTAATCTCGTCTAGTTATTTCGTGCTTTTCTACAATTGCATTTTCTCAATATGGTTGGATTATACTACCGGAATTTTTTTTTATTTCCAGAAAATGACCAATGAATGTGTACCCCGCACTTGCGAAAAGTTATCGCTACCATATTTTTGTACTTGCTAACTGTTTGAGAATGACTGAGAATACTGAACTTAAAAGGAAGTGGAATTATTCCTTATATGATAACCGTGGACTACCTGATAACTACACGGACTCTAATTTTCTCTCTGAGTTAAGAGTAAACCGTAAGTTAATATCAGTCAATAATTTCACAGCTCACTAGTATTTCTACCAAAGCATCGTTTACGTGATGTTATAATCGCCGCTGGGAGCATTTATCAACAACTCTGTTGGTACGCTTTATTTACTGTACATTATATATAAGCTTATGTTTATTTATGGTCATCTATTTCTACCTACTTCTTGAATGGATCCAACCCTGGTATCTCAATGTTTCTCACTTCTTCATTATAACCTCCGGGTATGCTATGTTTTGGTTGACAAAAGAAGCGAATGAGAAACAATTCAATGAAGGTAATTATTTGCTTAGATTATATTGTCCTCATTTTTCACCTTGATAAGCAAAACCATTCATATCCTGGTGGTAAAACTTGCATATTACAATAATGTGAAATTCCAAATGAGGTATTTTATGCCGTATAGCACCTAGAGGCACATTGTATACTTGTTGATGCTTTTGATTGAAATTATTCCCAATAACGTCGTGTACACTTAGTCCTGCTAAGGATTTCAACATGCAATTGCTTTACTACAAAGTTTCCAAAACCTAAGTGATTATATTTCCCGCCTACTGTATTTGGTATTTTAAATTAATAGCTTCGTTATGTGCTTCTTTTCTGTTTCTAGTAATTCATGAGATTAGATCTGGCGTAGTATTTTTCACCTTCTGTCTCCTACTTGCTCCAATCTTACATTCGCTTTTATCAAGTGTCAGTACAGACTCCATATATGCTATGTGCATATTTTTCTTCCTCGCCTACTGGACATGTTTTGACTACAAAACTCATTGGCAAGGTCATCCTCGGAAACCTGGTTCAAATACAATATCTTTGAGTTCTGCTCTATTGGCCGCGCTCTGCCTAGCTAGTCGTCTACCGGACCCTTACCATACTTTTGCTTTATTGTCGACTGCTGTTATCTTACTGGCATTGTGGCCGGCATTAACGAGAAGGTTTCGCGTAAGTGCACTTTATAACTTTTAATGTTACTATCACCACTAATATATCACAAACCTTAAATCTGTATGTAACCTAGTACGCAATAAATGTCCAGTAACAGTTAAGACTCATTTCGTCGAAACATAGCTTTTATGCAACTATTGTGTGATGACAGTACCCAGTCTCCGAAGTAAAATTAGTTAATGCAGGATTAAAACCCAGGAGCATTGGATGAAATTCGGGTGCAAATGAGCCACTCATTAAGATGAGAAGGGACGCAAGAACTTATCAACCTATATTACTGAAGCATCAAAAAGGGTGACGAAGAGAAAGAATAATATAGTACAGTAATTATATGCATGTTCCTGTACTAGAAACCCAGTCATAGTGATTGCGTAGAATTCATCTTAGATGTTCACATTTCACGAGATACGACAAGAGCTGATATCATCATGCTAGTTGAGAGCCAACTGCTTAAATCAATGAGCGACATATCTCCAGTGTACTGAATCAATAACAAATACTTCCTCAAATTAAAATAAATATTATTATCATTCTCCCCTTCGGAACGTAGCGCTTCAATAGCATATCTCTACTTAATCGTATTTTCTAGCATGCTCTTTATTTAGCCCAACAAATCAAAGTAAAACTGATGGTATATTTCGTACATACAAAAGTTTTCTTACGCGTTACTGAAACGGTGTAAGCCTTATACACTAACTTATCATTTTGAAGTCTTTATGAACATCCAACTAACTTGAAGTAATGCCTGTCAACACTTATAACATAACGTAACTGTAAAGACAATTTCGGTATGTTATAACATAATCCATCATGAACAACTGCCGTGTGGTGTCATAACTTATTTACGGCTCACAAACTATGAGAATATTTACGATAGCACTAACTTGGACTACACCACTGTCTGCTCAACTTCTACCACCATATTTCAATTTATTTGCAGTAATTGTTAAAATAAAATTGGTCGCAAATATCCTAAAATTTTATGATCAAAATAAAACTCCAACCTAACAAACTAGTGGGTTGACAAATTAATGACTGCTACTGCAATAGAGTTCGGCTGACTGACTCCAAACGACAGCCCATTTAAGTAGATGTACGGTGCCTAATAATCTCTCGATATATATATATATATATATATTACTGTATTTGAGGCAGATTTAAATCTTTGTGGAGATTTTTATTCATACTTTAGAATCATGGCGGTGATCGGGCACAAATATGCTTAACTGTGGCATCAGGCTCAATAACTTTCCTAAGTGCTTGGCCATTAGTGTACAATGGACTTTCCATAGAATACAAGTGCGTATTATTTAGTGCATTTTTAATCGCAACGGTATGTCTCAACTTCGTTGGGCCATGGTATTTGCTAAAAATGCATCGAATTAAAAGGTTTGTGCTTTTATTTACTAAATTTAAATAATAAGTCAGAGTTTCGATCTAAAAATTACATTTGTTTTGTTATCTTTCAAGTCTCCGAAGACAGTACAAAGCCAGCATATAATTTTACGGCATTGCGAAAGACTATTTATAAAATTGAAGCAGTCAAATTCGAACTAGCAGGAATACTTGAGACTGGAATAGTTTGATTATCAAGTTGTAGAAAGAACAAAACGTGTGTCAGTGGATGGTATTGTGAAACATCAGCGGATAGACGTATTTCCCTGCTCAACTTCTGTCGTAATCTAATATAGGTTAACTTATAAGTTGTGCCAAACTTAGGAATATATATCCGGTGCAGTCCCTGAACATTTTATCATTTAACTTGGTCTTACTTACTTAAGCAAAATAGTCTCAAGAAAGTAAAAGTATGTCGAAGTTTACTTGATTTTACAAACGAAATAACTGACCAGTCAGTACTGCAAACAATGACTTTACGGTTTATGGGATTAGGCACTTGAATTTCAAACAGTGCACCTATATACACAAGCGTTACCAAGAAACTTAATTACGAAGCAATGTCAGAAACTTTTAGAAACCGCAACTTTCGAGAACGCTTCCTTATGTTTACAAATCAGTCAATGGGGGGGAACAATCGAAACTCCAGGTTTTTCCTATATATCAGAAGTCAGTTAATAAAAGGATAAAAGGTTCCTCGAGTGGTAAGGAAAGTTATTGGTAAAGATTGCAGTCCTCAAAGTAAGACTATCCCAAAACTTGTGTTCTGATGTATACCAAAACCAGGCACATTATTTTACACAACATTCAAATTTCTGCTATGCGTTATCCTGTTTCTGGTCGCAGAAACCTTTTACTATAATTACCACACATTTTCAATAAACCTATAAGATAACTAAATTTATTTATATATTTCTATATTTTAATAACAGAACAATTCATGGACCGTGGGATGAGGCTACGATTGAATAAATATTGTAGAAAAAATTTATCTATTTAGTATATACAACGGTATTTTGTACAAAATTAAAATCCTTTGCTGAGGAGAAAATTAGCTACCTCTTCTTGGAACAGACCTTCAATTTTTATGCAGCGTGTAACTTCATCAACCTGATGAAGAAACAATCCTGCTTCACATTTCGGTTGCAGAAGCGTTCGGAGGTCTTCAGCAAGTGCCTGTAATTTTGATGAAAATTTGATTGGCATTCATAATAAAATTTGAAAATATATGAAAATTAAAATGTTCACGTGTCTTCATCACATAAAACAATTCCGAGGGATTGAGTAACTTATTCAGGTAACTACATCAAATCGCATATCTGAGAGAACTAAAGCGAACATAGTAAGACTCATCCATTTACATTCATGACTTGACAAATTCCTACTGATTTTTGTTATCTGATATAGTCAAGATATTTTCAGTGCACATCATACCACCCATCTATATTTTGCAGACAGTCGAATTAACATGTGAGTGTATAAGTCCGAATTGAAAGATGACTGGTAATTAAGTCCGTAATGTCCTATTTCCCAGGCTTTGCGAAACGACCAATATGAAGAAGTGTTTCACGGCTATGAAAGTTGTGCGGGTATTGATCATTGTTAAGCTTAGTGCATGACTGATTACTGATATAGTTAGTAAATCACTTAAGCCGTTTTTAACATGTCTGACTAGCTACCAATGTGGTACTCGGACTGCACACAAGTTCTGGGATGAAAATGTAGAATTTTCACCTCATTCTAAAGTACATAGATAAGTAAGGAAATAACTGTGCGAAGACTAAGTGTACAACAGACATATTATATATGACGGGATGCGCTTAGGGTGCTGCATTTCACATAAACTTATTTCAACAACTAGTGTAAAGTCGTACAAAGGCTCTCACTAGCACATCCAGAGTAAACATGTTCAAATAAGCGGTTTTCATAGACCTACATATATCGTCTCATCAAAAGCCAGAGATACTCGATCACCATCTCTGGTGTATGAGTAACCAACAATCCCACATTTATCATTCCTGTGATAATTTAATTTATAGAGCATAGTAACCATGAGTGGCACTGTGACCAAATACGTAATCAAATCATTTTGATTGCAGCAGTGTAACAGTAGGATTTGGTCGTTCTAGTAAATATATATTTCCATATTAGATAGGCTTATTTGGTATGACACAGTAATACAGCATAAATAAGTGGGTGACATTTCGAGCCCAATTAACTAGTCGTGTTTATGTCAATGTATTCACATGACCTCATAACTGGGCCTTATATAGCCTTACTCCCTCCATATATATATATATATATGATTGTTAGCCAACAAGTAAAAATAAGCATCGTTCCTATATAATACGGTGGTGAAATCTTGTTCCTTATATCATCCGGGACTCATCGTAAATTAGCCTCCGAAAAGCTTGCTTGATGTTTTTAAAACCGACTAGTTTCTGCAGAAATTAACTATTAGTTCCAGAATAGCATTAGAATTTACGGATTTCTGTTCACTCTTTTAGTGAATTAAAGGTACTAAAGTTCACTCATCGTTCAACTAGTATTTTCATAACCTTAATTAGAACTATTAACGGTGTAACTCACGTGCATATCACCGTCTATATGTCGAATGACTGTTAACTGCCGGACCCCATGTGAGCGCTCTTTCTTTTTTCGTTGCTTCTCCATGTAGTAGACGGGTAACATATGATTCTTCGACCTTCTGACAGAATAAGGTACATTTTTCGACAAGTCCGCTTGTAAAAATATATAAGGAAAAAAATTTCAGTATACAAATATAGTTCTTCATTCCAACGTCGTATATATTTTACAAAATATTAACTCTGATAAAAACGATGTTAATGATCAAGTAGAACGATGTCCCAGGGCCACAGTTTCCAAACTATTTCCAAAAGTTACTGCTATGAACAGCAAAACTGAAGATCTCTTTGCTAAGCTTTCTGTGTATTTCAAAATATTAAATATTCTCATTATTAAAAACTAAAAGACACCTATGCGAACAATATTGTTTTCGATTAGATCTTCATCAGGTCTTACTCTAATTTACATAGCTTAAAATATATGAAAAAATTGTTATATATAAAGCTATGTGCACTGGTATAAATTCCGAAGGTCTAACTAAAAACAATATTGCTCACATGTATGTCTTATTTCCGTCTATTTGCTTTCCTGTCAGGAAACGTAAACCTGCAGAAGATAGCATAACATGATTTCCTTAAACAGCAAACCACTTACAATAAAATTTTCATATTGAAACATGAATTGGTTACATGGGCATTGAGGGATACTAACGAAATAACCAATCTAAGAGATCACCCAGTAAAGCATCCTCTGACCTACAATGACACTGACATCTGAAATAAGTGCAGAGAAAAGTGGAGTGGATTTCAAAGTACACTTCCAAGATTAAAATCTTGAATTTAAAACCTGTGCAGTTCTGTAACTTATTTCAGAGAGAATTCATTTCTAAGGAACACATGCTGCCAACTGTGAGTTTTGCTAGTAATGAGACAATTTCTTACAAGTGTAGCGGATAAAAACGGATGTTTTTATAAAAATAAAATTACTTCAGGAATAATCCAGAAAACTCGTAAAGGAAACAAAGATAAAACAAGACTGCGAATGAAACATAACAGTAACAAACACTGTAAGGTTAACATACGGTTAGGGGGAATCCAACCACTAGGAGTAGGACCCGGTATACCTTCAGGCAGCGGAATCTTATTTCTCTTCAAAACTTTTTCCACCCATACATATTCTGCCTTACTAACTTCATAATCTACTGGTTTTCGTTTTGACAATTCGTCATCATTAAGAGATTCTTCAACCCATGGATTTTCTAAAGTCGGCCACCACTGCACTCTTAACTTTCGATTACAAGTCTGAAGTCATAGGTAATATTTATAATTTCTAACCTGTACAACAGAGACAGGGTTGAGAATTTTATTGCAAATGTAAATTCTTGACAACATATTATCTGTCCTTTACTAAATGTTTCGCAAATTTGTTATGATACAGACCACCTGCAAGTAAAATAAACACGTTACTTTTATGCGATTACCTAGTAATTAAATGGAAAATTGCTGGAAAGCTCGGGAGTGAAAACGATAAACTTTCTTGAAATAAAAAACAATACAAATGTATAACATCCAGAATTATCTTGCTTTTACTAATGTTGACGTAACTTCCAGTTGCTTTTTTATTAATGCATATAACATTATTTGCGGGGTTTTGCCGTCGTTTGGTCCTGATTAATCTTATATTAACACATACGAGAAACAGTTAACATCAGAAATTTTTTCGCTCGTTTTAATTGTCACTTTGTAACCGAACTGCCGAGCTCGTTTGAAATCATGTACCTACCTCAATAGCACTAATGATTACAATTTATTCACGTTGGAACTAAATTTTAGTATCGCGAGTGTCTTTGTGGTGAACATACCGCATTATTACGACAGCCAGGATGAGACAAAAAAATGAGTACAAAATCAGTGGTCGGTTACAAACTATTACTTCTCACCCGGAAAACAGTCATTTTTTTCTTCCCTTTCCCCATTGGAACATGGCTCCAAGCTAGTGGCTTGAAGTTTCTGTAGCAGACTTTATTTTACAGGATGGGATTGCTAGCCCCATGCCCAACCTTTCCTCTTTACCAGCCATTAATATTGGTCAAACCAACGGTGAATGCCTTTACCGCAACATCAGCAGCCAACTCGCTGTAACTTTAACGTAAACTAAAAAAGATGATGACTAGATATACCTAAGGCATATGATGACTTCCTCAAAATCTCTGTGTGAAATTTGGACTGTTAGTATACCAATTTCACGAGGCACTAGCTCTGGATGTACAGTTAGTATACATAATCACTAATTTATTTCCTGAAATCTTTAAGACATACAGCTAATAAATACTTATATTCAACATGAAAATATAAGAATTAGTGGGTGGAAAACAATGCAAATTCCCACACAGAAGCGCATCAGTCCAAATTAACAAATTATGCTTAAGCACAAATGAAACAAAACTGATACACAGTAACGAATCTTGATATGATCATGAGCAATAGTTTGTGCTCGAAACGTCATCAGTTAATATAACTGTACAACACTGTGTGATTTATCAAAATAAAATCTTATCCATAATGGAGCTATACTCTACCACAGTGCCCAAGTTTTATACTTATTTCAGTAACGAATCTACGTGTGAAGGAGACTGATTCTATGAAAATCAGTCAAGACGTTTAAAATTTCAGTGTATTCTCTGAAATGAGCTTTCATTGCTGTTGTTTTTTGGACAACAACTAACGCTGTTGCCTGGTGTCACCAACATCATCGAACAATTGGTCATTCAGTAGTTGAGGGTCACACAAGAATTTCAAACTAACCCTCCTCCCCAGATGATTCAGGCAAACAGGAGGAGAAATAAGTGCAGCGGTTTAGAATTCACCACTCCCGTCTCGCTTTTAAACTAATTAGAATGACACCGGCAGTTCACAGTCAGTGGTTCAGAATGTGTGGAACAAGTTGCAGCTACATAGGTCTGTGAATAATCCGAATCTTATCTAATTTTATGTCTAAACAGTCAATCATCAGTCCCACAGAAGTAGAATTATAACTTAGTCACCCTGAGAATATTTCTCATGCAACAGGCCGCGAACGACACTTTTTGTATGAATTCTGCAGATGACACTGTCCAGCCACCTAAGCTAGAGTGAAACAGGACGGAGTCCAAATCCGGGCAATTTTGTCTGAATGTCAGACAGAACAAGAAGCTAGAAGCGCCCATGGTATGTAGCCCATTGTTTCATTGCCAGTACATTCAGTTAAACTACACGAATTCGTACTGAGATTTTCCCGACAATCGGGTGAAGTGATGCGTACCGTTTTATTATAGGTAGAGTGAACACAAATAACTACCCTATCCACCTCTTGAAGCTAAATACAGACCAGTTATGCAGAACATTTTACCACGATACAGAAAACGTGAATTTTATACCGATTCAGATATTGATTCAAGACATTCACGAGCCTACCATTTCAGTATTCTCATCCAAAGCACAATATTTCAATTGCACAACTAGTTACTTTGTGATTATTGTCCGGTTAACATGGGCCATGACATTGACACACTGAAAAAATGTAAGCGGCACAAATTAAGGATCATAAGCACTAAAGAAAACAGCAGTCAGCATAAATACCCCTTTATCCACACGACAACAGTAACGTACCATTTGAAAAGTTTCTCAACTTAATTGAACGTTCCATTAACAAGTTTTTTGTAATCCTCTCTTTTTGGTCCCGTAGAATTACTTTTCAACCTGGACAGCCCAGTATCTAAGCTTATTTTCGTCTCCCAACGGTAATAATGGCAACTATTTTATTTATGTAGACTAGCAGACAACTACCAAATGTGCGTCGGTGGCACAGTGGTTAGGACTCTCGCCGACTATGAACATTGTCCGAGGTTTGATCCCCTACCGACGCACAACAGATATCTGTGGTAGGCCTGCGAAATTTAGGCTACAGGTATCCATGCTGAAAATTCCATACCTGTACCAAAAATACAGTGCTGAATCAAGCTGTAATAAAAATAAAATAAATAATAAAAGAATAAATAAAAAACACTGGTCGCAAACGGAAGGCATAAGAAGTAAGAAAGAGCAGAAATCAGTAAACAAACGAGAAGAAACTGAATGTGCGAAAATATCCCCAGATTAACAATGAGACTTTTTGAACGAATCCGGAATTTCAAGCGTACACTCTCGTGATTTCAATGGAAGATATTTGTGTTTCCGGTCATTCATTCGCTCTCTTAAGCTAGTGCTTTCAGCATTATATTTAGCGTCTGCTTATTGAAATTTCCTAGTGATGATATGTCGAACGCGATTTCAATTTTCTCAAATTATTCTAAGTAGATGCAATCCGGAAAATTATGATTCGTATTCACTCCCGGTCTTCATTTTCTTTTTTTCCTAAATATCGTTCTCCAGCAGTTTGCGTTCGTCTAACATTTCAAATAAGGAGAGAACACTTCATCGTTGAGCAATCTATTCTGCATCTAAAATCACTTTGAAACTTTATCATTCACTAATCACCATGTCCATGCTTTTCGCACTTGCATTTTGAAACTTCTCAATATTCTAAGTAAGCAAACCGTGATTTGTTTACTTGGCGTATGACATATTTATATATATATATATATATATATATATATATATATATAGCAACGTTAACAGCAGAATGGAAAACTTTGCGCCAGTGTGTGATAGAACCAATAGACAGATTACTGAGGAAGGATGTTCAATAACTGTCTAACATATCGAACCAATATATGCTAACTACGAAGGTTGTGCTGGAAAATAAGGTTTAGATAATCGACAAATTTGACTTCATTAAATCAAGTTGAATGAATTTTAGGTGGTTTACCAGCCATGCCTAAAATCCCGATTCCATTTTTAGCATTTAGCAGAACGAACCTAAATAATGCCAATTTGAAAATATTTCATAATTCATTTAATTGTGACACTTTGATCAGTCAACCTTCCTCGTTTGAAGGAACATAAAGTTTTATTTTCCGATGACTTCTGTTCGAAGTATTGTAAATCGGAAAAATTTCCTTGTGCTCGCTTCCTAGATTCAAGTTGAAGGTTCTTGGTCTTCGTTGAACTTATTTGTAGTGTGTTCGCCACTCGATCGTCATAGTTTTGGTCGAATCCAAGATGAGTTTGTGTCACTGCATAAGTGCTAAACACCCGCTTGATGCTTCTATGAATGGTGAAGTGTTCAACCTTGGTGGCAAAGCGTCCTAGGGAAGACAAACGTGAGTGGGAAAAAAGTGTGGGCTCACTCCATTTCCGCGTTCTGGTGAACGATAATTCCTGGACTGCAAAAAGAAAGCTCCTAGTAACTTGACGATATGATATCTCTTAGTCGGTTATTCCTGTCATTTGTAACCATGTGGGTAGTAATAAGATCATCCACAAGTCAAAAGTGTGAAAAGAACAGTTTCATTTCGCCTTTCGTCATATGGTGTATTCCGGAAGCCCACCACTCTCTTTTCCTCCCGACTAGCGAAATTTCCGAAAGGCTGGCATCTCTTTTAAGTAACGAGGCAGCAGTGATACTGTGGAGACGGCTTACTGTCCGGATTAACTGAGGTACTAGGCAGCGTCTGGGAATCAGAAGAAGTCCCATCGGGTTGGTGTAAGTCACTGATTATCCCCATATACAAGAAGGGAGACAAGTCTTCGTGTGATAATCACAGAGGGATTAGCTTGACTAATATAGTATCTAAAGTCTTAGGCTCAATAATATTGCGTAGACTGAGTGGTGCTCGGGAAGCACAAACACGAGAGAGCCAGGCAGGCTTTAGACCAGGAAGAGGGTGTATTGATCATATCTTCACCCTCCGACAGATTCTAGAACATAGGCATTCCTACCGGCGTCCAACAGTCATTACATTACTTGACCTAAAGGCAGCATTCGACTCTGTCGATCGGGAAGTTCTCTGGAGATGCTTGGCTGTAAAGGGAATTCCAAGAAAATATATAGCACTGATTAAGGCACTCTATTCGTACTCATACAGCCAGGTGAGGGCTTACGGCGAGCTGTCATCTGAACTGATGACGACCAGTGGTGTCCGACAAGGATTCCCATTATCTCCTTTTCTATTCAACTGTATCATAGATGTGTTAATGGACTTCTGTCTGTCTGTCTGTTTTCGACATAGAACTTTGCACAAATGTGCGGAAGTTCAAGTCGCCACACTCCATGTAGCACGCGAAGCAAGAGAAGAAATTACAAGAAAAGCATAATAGAAACAGTGAGCAGAGGTGTGAGACAAAGGAATAGTAATAAGGAAGAACAATATAGTTTCATTGAAGATCATAAGTCACAGGGAGTGGATGCATCTGCGCCACTGAGAACGATTTTAAGCCATGTCACCAATTGTTTCCAACCATAGATTTTTACC